TTAGTGGACAAGTCAAAAAAATCCCTGAACCAAACGGCTGCTTTTGATGCCCAGAGAACATTTTGCCAGCCGCATGCATGGCTGCACTTTTCCCCCCAGCAGCAGGAGCAGCTGGAGTCACGTGACCTTAATTAGACCTGCCAAAAATAAAATAAGAAAGGGAGTGAAAAAAGGGAAACCTTCGAGCGGAAGAAACTCTTCTTCTACTGACATTTCCTTTCTTGCTGTGTGTGTTTCGGCTTTTCTTTGTATATTTTACGATTAAATGAATAAACACAATATCCCCAGTTATTCAGATACAGATTTCCAGACCCAAAGTGTACTGCCGCTGGAAATTGCTTTCAATTATAGTTTTATGCACTCGACTTCTTCAGTACACGACTATATATATAATCGTATAAGAAGTACCTATCTATGTATGTGGTGCAGGGCAATAAATTTCAATTATTTACTTAAATGCACATTAAACAGAATTGCCACTGAATCGGACACTCGCTCCCGACTGTCTCTCTGTCTGTGTGTCTATTCCTACTGTGCCTTTCACCCCCTGGTCTCCTCCTGCCACTCTCTCTCGGTCCCTCCTGTCTGAGTACCATGGAAATCGCCTGATAATGGAAATTGCAAACAGTTCTCTGGCTACAAACTTATTATTAAAAGGTTATTATCATTCTATCTATGGATTGTGGAGGGGAGGGCGTCACAGGTAAAGGGGATAACAGGTGCAGTTTGGCTGCTCCAAAGTTCTCAATTGGATGAGAAGGCTCTCTGATGGATATTATTAATTGGTGTGAGAATAATTTATCTACATTTGCACTTGGCATAATATATTATTATAAATAACTTAATGCAAAGACAATGCTAATGCATCAAGGTAGTCCCTAGATTGCAGATCAATGTGCTTACGTATATTTATTTTAAATATGAAATAAATTTAATTAAATATTTTATATATAAAATATATTTAAATTAAATATTTTGGGTATTTTAATATTTTAAATATGAAATATATTTAAGCTAAATATTTTAAATATGAAATAAATTAAATTAAATATTTTAGATATGAAATATTTTTAAATTGAATATTTTAAATATGAAATAAATTTAAATTAAATATTTTAAATGTGAAATATATTTAAATAAAATATTTTCAATTTGAAATATTTTTAAATTGAATTAATATATGCATCACTGGATTTTTTCTGTGTAAATTTTCTTTTCAAGAACAAGTGCTTTAACGATGCCAAATCAACCAGAAGCAAACCTTGCCCCACTCTTTAAACCCCACAACCGACATTAATTTAGTAACCTTGAGGCACACACAAACATACAAAAAATTGCACTTAATTTTAAACCATTTCTCTCTCTATGGAGTCGGCTCTCGAGCCTTCACTCTCTCTCTATCTCTCCGTCTCTCTTCTTAGTTGCTCTGCTTAATGCCAAAGACATAAAAGCAGATTTACGCTTAATCACACACGAAGGATGCATATTTTACTGTCCCAGAATGGGGTCGGTTCGGGTGTGTCCGTGTCCGTGTCCGTATCCGTGTTTGCCTGTATTACCTGTATCTGTGAGCTTCGTGTTCTTGGGATGTTGAATGTTGTTGTTGTATGTATGTTGTGGAAGCTCATTCGCATGCACAAACGCAGACCCAGAATTTTGTTCATTAGAAGCTCCACACGAGCGCGCTGCTTAGCCCATGCTTTTGAGTCCCGTCCCACAGTCTTTGCCTCATCTCTGGAACCACCTCTCCCTCCAAAACCCACTCAATCCCTTTTCTGTGATGCTCGCACTCAGGCCCCTCTCAGACCATGCTCTAAAGCCCCTCTGATGCCCGTTCTCTCTCTCTCTCTCTCTCTGTGTCTCTCGTGCTCTTAACCCTCTCAGACCATCCCAGAGCCCCGCTGATCCCTGCCACTTTCTCTCTCGCTTTACCCCACCACTCTTTGTCCTTGCAATGTTTTCAGTTCATTTTGCTTGCCCAGTTTTCCACCTCCTCCCACTATTTGTGTGTGTGTTTTTTTTTTCGGTACAGGACCTCCTGCTGTGAGCACTTGGAGCTTTTCCGAATGCTGTGTGCTCGTGGCCCCCATTAGCCAACAGGATTTATATTACAAGAGCGCACATAAAAAGCACCGCAGGATATTTTGTTTTATGTGAATTTAATTGTAGTTTTAATCCAAAAGGACGAAGGTGGCCACGGCAACCAACCCACTCCCTTTTCCACTCCTTTGCCACTCCTTTTTGCGCCCCATCCACTGATGGATGCTGGCTGCCTGCTCTGATGTGCTGCCGCTCTCACAGCGTGTGCTATTTTAAATTAATAGCATTGCATTTTTAATAATGGCTGAACGAAAGGACCAACAGCAACAGCCACACACACCCAACCGCCGACGGCCGACACACACGTCGGCTACTTGATTTGGTTATGGCAGAGAGCGGACAAAAGAAAAACTCGGTCAAGCGGCAGACACCAAAAGGACCAAAGCACCAAACGGGGTGCTTGGGGGTTCGTTGGGGCTCCCTATGAAACATCAATAAGCTCCCAAAGCAAGATCAAAGCATAATTATGCTATACGTGCTGCTGCTGCTGCTGAACTCCTCTCCTAGCACCACTCCTTGAGGGGGAAATATTTGAAATATTTATTTAATATGCGAAACTTTTTTACAAGAATTATGAGCCAACAAAAGAACGAAAACCAGAAGTAAAAAGGCAAAAAACTTCAAAACGAAACATGGAGTGCACTTACATACAATCTTAAGGGGAGTTACAGCTTATGAAATGGCACACCAAATCTCTACCTTCGAATTTTTAATCGAATTTCTCTCTCTATAAGGCATTTTTGGCTAGAGTATTATGGTTCGTTTTTTGGAAAAATATTCAAGTGATTTTTAAACATTTATGTTACCAATAAATATGTTACGCATTCTGAAATTAATTTATTATATTTAGATTAATTTAATATTTATAATTAATATTTTATTCCTTTGCGTTGTAAAATCAGTAATGTTACAGAATAGTTATCTACCTTAAAAAACATTGTTCCTTTCTGCTTCCCGACTGGGAACTTATTTATGAAAAAATCAACCTTTCTTCTTATCAACCAGAAGTATTCAAAAACTGTCCCTTATTTCTAAATAAAATCTTCAAAAATTTAATCAACCTCTAAAGAAAATGTTTGACTCTTCTCCAAAAGCCCCAATAGTTCCATCATACCCCTGATCATTTTATAGAGCATAAATACGAATATACCGAGCAAAGCTCTGCCACACGAGGCGGCTTCAACAGTTTCATTTTTGGTCTGGAAACAACTTTTCAGAAGAAAGAAAGAACTTGGCCAAGTTTTGAGCAGAAATATCAACGGAAATATGGCAAACAGAATCCTCTGCCACATACACACCCGCACAGACACTCTCACACACTCCTCGTACAGCTAGAAGGAGGCTCAAAAGTGCGCACATCCTGCTTAGCCGGATTTTTGTAATGTGTCCTTGTTGTTGCTTCCTTTCCTCCCTCTGACACACACACACACAGATACAACAAAAAAGGGACAATTTGTTTAAAGGTAACAAAAAGTTTTGGCGCTCTCAATTTTTTTTGTCGACAGAAACAGAGGGGCGGAAAAAGGGGGAACAGGAATGCTTTTGCATAAACTTGAGCGGCAAAAGTTGAAAAATATATATTGTATTTTTGGTCTGTTGCTGTCTCGAAATATACAAATATATATACATACAAATATTCATAAATATATATATATATATATATATAAATATATCCGTATATGGTAACAATACCAAAAGGCAAACAACAAAGACAAAAGTTCAAAGGAAATGTGCCACAGGAAAGACAAACGAAAGAGTAGGAGAACGGTAAAGTGGCAGAGCAGAAAGGAAACAAAATATTAAGAAAGTTATTCCAGTGAAATGAAAGTTGATTTTGTGGTTTTTCTTACAGTTTTTCGCCCAATTGGAAAACCAGAGGAGTATTGCACCTGGTTTTAGTTAAATGAGTGGCTCTGTACAGCCAACGAGAGCTTGACTGGACTCCCTTTTGGTTTTTCTGGCATTAAACAATTAAAAATGAAACCCAAAATTAACCCCGTAATATTTCCCTTTTCACTACTTTCCTTCAGACAACAGGCTTTTCTTTCTTTCCTTCAGGACTGACTTTTCTTTATTTCTCTCTTTCTGAGTAAATAAAAATCGGGCAAACAAAATCATTTGCATAATTTAAGGCATTATTTTTTTTTTTTGGCGCCCTGCTTTAAATTGATATTACAAGAGCAATTTGTGTTGACTGGGAAATGACAAGGGGGTGGTGGCAGGGGGTTGGCAAAGGGGCTATGCGTGAAAAGTACATGGAAAAACTGTGCCACAAAACTCTATTTGTTGCTTTTGCTACATTTCCCACTGCTGCTGCTGCTGTTGGATGTTGTTTTTATATTTTTTTTTGCTTGCCACTTTTCGTTTCGTTTCCAGTCGCTGGGGCGTGTTCATTCATTTCCTGTTGCGCCCAAAGTTATGCAAAGCGTATGGCAAAGTGAACAAGCGAATACGAGGGCAGAGGCGGCAGTCAGGCAGGATGTGCAGGATTTAGATTGGTGGGTGGGAGGGGGCTGGCTGGGAATGAGAGCTAACAGGGAAATGAGATAGCAACGGAAACGCGTAAGATAAGATTCGGTAGATGTGAGTGCTGAGAGCGGATTGCTCGATGAGTGACTGCGCTACTGAAGGATTGGTGCAGAGGATCTGTAATGGATTTAATTTGAGAGGAAATAAAAAACCTAAACAGAAAGAATTTAACAAATTAAAACTAGAAATAATTTTACAAGTATCCCCAAAAAGATATCCCCAAAAGAACTTTTAAACTTTCACAGCAAATCAGCATTGTAGATTCTAGCACTACAACCAAAAATATGCCACAAAAACCACAGAAAAACAATCTAAACTGAACCATGTTTAAGCCGCAGTTTAACAATTAAATATATATATTTGAATTATCAATCATTTAGTGTTCCAACAAATACTCAAGTGTTTCTTATGTAATGTCGCGTCTGTCTGCAGTTACTTCCTCATTCCTTAGCCTGCAGCAAACTACCATGAGGCGCCAAGGCATTCCGTTTCGCTTCGGTGCGGGCCTATCCATTTCTCATATTTCGCTGGCCGTTGACATCTGCCACCAAGTGGCAGAGGCAGGGGGCTACATGAAAATAAATGTCCGCGTTGATTTGTGTGTGAGTGCAAGTCCCGTCCCCCTCGCCCCCAGCGCCCGTTGCAAGTGTATCGTGTAATTGGAAGCAGATGTTGGAAGCTCTCTACGTACGAATATTTGGTGGCATTTCTTCTCATTGAAACTCAGCTGGGTTGAGACTGCGGTTATGGTGGACATGCAACAGATGGTGCTGGTTGCTAGAGGCATGAAGACAGGCAGGAACATCAATTTCAGTTGGCATACAAAGTCAGGATCAAAATGGCATTAGCATACCTGAGAGTCCGATGCTCACACATCTTCTTAGCCATGGTGCGAGCCTTAATATCGCTCAGCACATCATCGGTGCCCTGGCGACGGCAATGATCGCACTTTCCCTCGTACGGGGGCTCGCCCGACTGTCGCTTGGCCGTGGGCAGCACGGGAACGCTGCGACTGCGTCGTCGCGGCTGTGTGCTCTGCTGTGGTGATGCCCATTCCGGCGGATAGCGCGGCAAGCCTGGCGCGTATCTGTCACAGGCGCGTTGCATAGTTCGCGCATTCTGACGCCGCGTCTGATTGATGGTCCACGGACCGTCCAAACAGAGCTCATTGGCGTCATGCAACTCTTCCTCCTTGGTATGCTTACGTCCCCGCTTGAGGCGTCCATTCATGTTCTCGATATTGGAGCTGCCCAAATGGGACACCAGACTGTCGCCCAAGTTACCGACCTCATCCAGCAGACTGGGAAAGCGATCACGTAGACAGGCACGGCGATAGTAGGGTCCATTTGGGCCAAAAGGATGATTCGTAATAAATTGCATAATGAACGAACGTTTCGATTTTTTTTAGAGCAGCAAAAAATCACAGAAAAACTTAATTTTTATTCACTGAATGTAAAGAGCGCTGCCCACTTGCTGAAAATGTGACAGAAATGCCCGTAATGGTTGGATATTATCGATACATCGAGTTTAGTTTAGTGTTGGAAAAGGTCCCAAAAGTTTATCAAAAATTAATCGAAATAAAAATTAAAAAATTCCCATTATGATATGAAGAATGGCCGTGTAAAAATTCATATGCATATCTACATCACATATCTATTCGCATAATAATAATAACAAAAAACAACAGAAAAACATTCCAACTAGAGGAAATTAAAACCCATTAAAATGAAAGCCATAACAATAATTCAAATCCCAAAAGGCCAGAAAAATATGCTTGACAGACAGAACCATTCCCCGTATCCGAAACCGAATCCGAGTCCTGTTGATTAGCATACGGGAGTGAAATCGCAATAAAAGTAATTATTTTGATTACATTTCTAACGGACGTTGTGTCAGGTTCTGTTGGGTTTTGTCAGACGAGGATGAGAGGATGTTGATGAGGATTTGGGTTGTGGGCTATTGCCATTTGAGTTCCGTGGCAGAACCAGCAAAAGTCAAATGAGAGAGCAACGCAGACACATGCATAAATAATAAATACCGCGGCAAAATGAAGGAAAACAAATACAAAATGAAGAAAAATTTCGTCAGTTGTTGGCATGGGGGTGTGGCAGGAGACACACAGCGAGAGGTACGCGGGGTACGCTGTGGCACATCAACATTAAAAATGTATTTTAATGTGTCGCCCATTTCGCTGCTTTCGCTCACCCTCCTTCTCACTCGTTAATGTCTTTCATTTTGGCAGGGAAATTTCCCAGCGATGGTGGGCGTGAACCACCCACCTGTCAGGGTGTGGGGAGGGGGTAGTACAAAGACAGACAAGACAGACAGACAGACCATTAGGCCAACAATTTTCATTGCGTTTGTAAATCATAAAATGCTGTCAAATTCCTGAACAGCCACCAGCAACCCCGTATCGTGTGTTTGCCATGTTTTGGCTTTGACTTTCGTCTAATTACTCGTGATTTAATTTGAAATTGTAATTAGCCAGGAAAATGTCATTTTTGTGACGCCTTTCTGACAGCCGAAGGAAGCGAGAGAGCGAGCGATGGGTTAAAGATCTCATGTGTTGCCTGGATTAACGCCTCGAAGTTTTTAATTAGACAAGCGGAAAAGCGCCAAGAAAGGCGGGGGACCAGACAGCCTGACAAAGCCACCCACCCATTGAAAGCCATTCACAAATGAACTGCCAACTCCAGCTGCGGCAAGAGGGAGGCAACCCTGTGCTGCCAGTGCTGCCAAGGAACAAAAGACTGCACGTCTGGCAACGCCATGTTGACAAACAGCGCTGCCAGCTGCAGTCAGAACGTAATCGAAATAAATTTGACTTCCACTACACGAATTCCCTAAAGAGAAATCACTTGAAATCCCACTCCACACAGAAAAGCACAGCAGGAGGAGAGAAAGGGGACTGGTGGACTGGTGGACTGGGGGACTGCCACTGCTGCCCCCCACCTGTCATAGTCCATACTCTGTGCTGCTGCTGCTGCTGCATGCCCCATCAACCGAGAAGCGTATCCAAAGGAGACAGAGTAGACAGTGGAGCCGGTAGAAGTCTGCTATCTAAAGCTGTTGATAAAGCGCACATTAAAATATATATACGTATCTAAGTATCTCAAAGATACTGCTGCTGCTTCTGCTGCTGCTGCTGCACTGCTGGAACAGGTGAGGCGAAGCGTCCTTCAGCCTTCATTCCAGGGATATGGCCATGTGGCAGGGGGAAGGGGCATTCAAATGAAAAACCGTGAGAATCAAAGCAGCAGACAAGTGGAGCGGAAAGCTTTCAGTGCGTGGCCAAGACGAGAGGGTCGGTCTGGTATGGAAGTCTGTCCAAACCGAAAAACTGTGTCTTGGTGGGGGGACGGGGACGGGAACGGGAACGGGACCCAGTGAAGCAGTCGTTCGCCGATTGTCCGGTGAAGACGAGGCTCCATAGTCCGCCTGTCCCTTCTGTCTTCGTTGAGTTGTTAAGTTTCGTTTGGTTCTTGGGATGGTTTTTCTTTTTTTCTTTTACATTTCATTTATTACGCAGAGGTTTTCCTTTTCTCTTTTTTTTTTTGCTGCTTTTTTTTTTGTAAATTAAGAATTTCCCTGCAGCTTTTTACAGCTTCTCAATGACTGACTACGTCCTCGAATCCATGCCCCCCGCAATCTCTCCAGTCCCCTCCCCCAACACAAAATGCTTCAGTCTCTTAGTCTCCGCTGACTGTTGGCGTTATAAAAGCTCAACGCTTCATTGCACAAACATAGTGAAGAGACCGGAAGGCAGTCAGGCAGTAGAGGCATCGTCAATTCTAAAGGCCTAAAGGGGAGTGGTTGGGCAGCAATCTGGAGCAGCAGCAGCAACATCAGCAGCCGAAGTAGATTGAGTGGGGGGGGGCAGTAGTCGAGTATTGGGGAAGGCATTCCACCACTTAACAGAGCACACAACTTGGCTTGCGGTCGACGCGTCGACAAAGTCGGCTTCGGTGGTGAATGCTCGCTCCCCCAGCTCCCCCTCCCCCAACGACGATGGCGACACGATATCGTTTCTGCATACGTGAGCATAAAATATGCCAAAGGGGGGAGACGGACGAGGCTGCGTCGCCTCCGGAGCGGTGTCTGTGGCAAAGACAAGAACTCAAAATTAAATTAATTAAAACAATATAAACAATAAGCGAACGACATGCGAAGGAACACCTACGAGAGAAAGCAACGATAAAGCAGGATGCAGTAGGGTACAGTGAGGACTCTCGCTATGAGTTGAAGGCAAATCAATTCTGGGCAAGAAAAAGACAAATGAGAAAAGTCAGTCATTAAATGATATTTTTCTGGGCAGGATGAAAATTCTCCCTACATAGAATAATGATAACGTTTTCTGTGCCAGATCCACTCTACACTCTTCTGTATAGCCAGTGACCACTGTAGCCAGTCCTTTGCTTTCACAGCACACACACACACTCAGTGTGGGCAAAAACCCTTTTCTTTGTAGTTTTATGCGTGACATAACCCATTCATATGCCAGGCAGCTCACAGCTTAATCTTATTGTTTACTTGTTGAAAGATGCCCCCAAAAAACCAACCAAACAAACAAACAAACAAATGGCTAAAAAATAGGAAATCTTTTTGAAGAAAAATATCCAACCATCTCTGACAGATAAAAAGTCCAAGCATTTTTCCTTTCTGACATTTTGGAGAGGTTCGGCGCTGCGCTGTGCTGTTCCTGCCAAGCAGAAATCAAAGCAAATAAAATAAGCAAATTATGAAAGAGATGAAATGGAGGAGGCGAGTCCAGAGTGCTGGAAAATAAATTCAGAGAGCGTCTGGCTGGGAATTTGTTGAGTGGAGAAGATTGGACATTGATAGCGTACGTGGTCAGGCTTCCAAAAAAAAAAAAAGAAGATGCTTCTCTGCTCTTCTTGGCTGCAACCTGGAGTGGCAGCAGAAATATGTATACGAGTATGTAGTATAGTCGGGTAAACATGTTTCAAATATTTATGCGCTCATTTCTGGTGGTTCTGCTGCTGCTGCTGCTGTTGCTCAACTATTATTGTGGCAGAGAGCGCACTTTATCTTTGGCTTGACAAAAACCGCGACTTTCAGTCCTACCAGCAGAAGGTCCTTCAACATAGTACATATTGTAGCTTTGGCTGTGGTTGGATCTGTTTTCCCCCCTTCTGTGGCAGTCGGAAGGCGAACCCAGGACACGTTTTGGCAATGAACACGACAAAGGAACGTGTGTTTATTTTTATTTGTGGCTCCCACCCCACAAAAGGTAAAGGTGAGCACCAGAGCAGGACTCCAATATTCTCGCTGCTCTGTTTGGGGCTCTCGGGAAAAATTTATGTGGCAAGGAGGCTCGTAAACGCCGTGCTGTCGCTTGGTTGATTGAATTTTTGCCCATTGCATTGCCGCCTCTTGCGGCGGCGAGGCCGGTTGTAAATTTTTAGTCGCGCAAACTAATTGGAAAACTCGAGAATATCGAGGTGGGACAACTGAAGCCTCAGATAATCCATAATTAAAACTAAACATTGCATAAGTAAATTTCATTGTAGACATTGGATACATTTATCTTGTCTTTGCAAAGAAAAATGAAAGAAAATTGAAGGTAGATTTAATTTTTTCTGGGCTAATATCAATAGTAAAATTGTAAGAAAATTAATTAAAGAAAAGTAAATGTAGGGGAAAAAAAATGGTGTTAAATATATAGAAATAGGAGAATTCTTTTTTTGGGACCTTCTTCCACTTTGGGCCTCATGTTTTTTCTATGCAAATGTTTGCCCACGTTCAGGTTCAGTTTTTTTTTTCCTGCCAGAGCAGGATCTGTTCACATAAAATGCAAAAGTAAACAGCATCATTAAATGCGAAAAGCACCTGAGGACAACGCGGGCATCTTCTGGGGTGGGGTGGGGGGTAAGATGCGGGCTATTAACAATGTTGCCACTTCATTCAAATTAAGCAAGAGACCCTCCCCCAACCATTCACCCTACGCCGCAACCTACGTGACGGTTGCCACAAAAACGTCTTTTGCCTTTCGCCTCAATGTTCAAATTTTAATCGCATTTCTTGGTCGTGGTGGCTCCGAGTCCTTTTCACTTGCCGCCATGTCCTTTGGCTTCGACACTTGCAAGGCACAGGGAGAGGGACAGGGGGACAGACCACGACTGGGTCTTGGACTGTCAAGGCAAAAGCAGACCAGGAAAAGGGTTTGGTTTCTTTTTTTTCTTGCCTCTTGTTTGTCCCGTATTTCGTCCTTTGGCCCACTGCCCTCACGGCCCACGGCTGGCTGTCACTCACTCATTTGTTTTTGTCTTCTGTTCTGCGTTTTGCTGCCCGCAAAATGGAAATGGAAATTGGTTTTCTCTTGGTTTGCTCCCTTTGCCAGAACGCCCCACAAACAGCAGCAGCAACGGCAACGGCAACAGCAGCAACAGCAACAATAACATTCATTTAAAATGCAAATAAAGTGACAAATTACCTGAATTAGTGACACAACCAACGTTC